AACATCAGATAACATTTACCATTTCCACCCACAAGAGATGTGGACGTGGCAATGAGCCAACCTTTACCATTTGCCGCAAATTTGAATAGGGCACGACCTTCGCCCATCTGTTTAATCATTCTATAGGATTAATACCTTCGATTAGTATATAATTTGTTCGTTAAACAAAAAAAGTACACTATTAAAAAAAAAAGAATTTTTGAGTATTTTATTAAAAATATGCTGGACAGGATTTTTTCAGCCAATCCACTTGCGAAATATTTAGTAACACGTTAAATTTCTTACAAAATAGATTTTCTCCACTAAACAGATTCTTAGACTTTTCATTCCTGAGTACAAAAGAGAACATATGCGATATTTCAGCGAATTTTTATTACGGTTACAACTTTTGGCCGCAGATTATATGGGGACGTTCCACTGTGCGTCGGTCCTATGAGTACATCGTACCCATATTTTAAAAGCGACTCATACCTCGTCAGTGTGGGTTAGTAGAGTTTATCGCCAATCATTTGATTGGTACTTTACCTCTTTTATATTTTTTGGGGGACCTATAAAAAACAGTTAATATTAAGAAATGGTTAAATTAACAATTAGGTTTTATTATTGGAAGTCTCCTAAAGCGAAGCAGAGTTTTTCGACCGAAAAATAATGATTCTAAAAAGTTCTACATAATTTTTACGAAAAACTTTTTTCCCCATATAAAATACATGGAAAACTTTGAGCGCTAAATATTTTTTGATTTCGATATAAAAAACAGAGGTATGTTGTTTTCGGTATAGAACAATCCTTGATATACTATGTATTTTGAAAACCCTGAGCAGTTGCAATAAAATACGAAACATTCACGGAAAAGAAAACGAAATTGAGTGCATAAAATTGCATATGTATGTATATATAAAATATATCTCTGCATTTGAAGTTGATTTTAAAATATTTATATTTTTGCTAAATATTAATGCATTAAGTGCGTTCGATAAAGAGCTGCAATCAATAAATAGCAGTAAATCAAACAAGAAAGACTTTAGGAAAAAGTTATCAAAGCGATGCTGCTAAATCATAATGAGGCGGATAGTAAATTTGAAATGCATATTTAACTACATATTACATAGATATAGGTAGTGTAAGAGACCGAATTATTTAAATATGTATGTGCATACATACATATGTTAAAAGAAATGTAGCTAGGATTATTAAAAAATTAGAAGAAGAAATAATCAAAAAATAAAGCAATATAAAATGCTTAAAACAAATACATACATATGTATATCGTTAATCAGCTGACTGCAAATAACAAAGATAGTATATATGTATGAAGAACACATATAAAATTATATAGAAACATTACTACTTACGATAATCTTACATACCCATGCATATATACATACATACATACATTATATACAATATTTATGCAATTTTAATGAAAAGCAAATAATTATATAAACATGTACGAGCTTATTTGAGCAACCAAATATGGTTTTAATAAACACACAAATCACACGCTGAAGAACAGACATACACTTACAGAGCAATTTAAAAAACAAAATATATGGACATTGAACAATGCTAAAGTTCAAAATTATTTCGCAAAAATCAGCAAATCAACTCGTCAGTAAATTAAATAAAATCTACTAAATGAATAAGAAAACAATAGACTCAAACACTGATTTGCAAGTGAGAAAATCCCATGCATACATATGCTTACATCATTCATAAAAATATCTATGGCATAATACTTAAATATATTCTAAAATAACAGTTATAATTCCATCGCAAAACTGTAATACTCGTAATACTCTAAAGCGAGTCAAGAAAGTGGAAAATACAAACAACTGAAATGCGAAAGTAATAGCTACTAAATATACATACATACAAACATACATAAATACATATATACATAAATTTAAATATTAAAATGAGTATGACAATATACATATGCGCCTGTATTATAAGTTGAAATTGAATTGTACGAGCATGTATACCAATAAAGGATTCACAACCAGAAACAAATTCAATAAATTCATTTCTCTTAGATTACTCCGTAGGTTGCAATTGATAACGGGAATATAAATGACTTGGAGAAAATAAAAACAAGTACTTAACAAAACAGACTGCCAGGTTGCAAAATAATGTTGCTTAGTATTTTAATTTCAGCTTAAGTTCGTTCGTCATGGGTTTGTTTAAAAGTATAGATGGTTCTTAGTCGCATACAGCTATCCCTTCTCACAGTGTTTGTTTCTACTATTATTTTGTTTATTATAACTAATAAAAAGAAAAAAGATAAAATCATTATGTAATTCGCTGTGTACCATTATTTCATCCATGGTAGAGTCATCGGAACTAAATTAAATTAGTATGGGATCACCTCCAAGGTATTATCTTCCCCATAAAAAGTCCATCGTATTCGGTTTACGTTGTCAAAAGCTTTATATATCTAAGTATATTTTATATGCTCATATAAAAATTTAGGAAAACCGTTACTTTCTAAACAATACCACGATTGGAGCTTAACCAAATTAGCACCACCTTTCCGATAAAAAAATTATCGAAACGGTTCACGTGGTCCAAAGTTATGTGGTTGCATATTCCAATGGATTGAAAACCTTTCTACTTTTTTTGATGTCGGTTAATAAAAAAAATGTCAGCCAGAACTTTAGAAAGATCTAAACTTTCCGTTTCGTGATCTTCTTTTTACTACTACCGTCGCAAGGATATATTCATGCTTGATTTCATTATCTCGTCAGTACATGAGATCAGCGAAACTTCCTCTTGTTACTGAGGGAGCTTTGAAATAGAGAGATTAAACAAAAGAGGAAAGAGGGCACCACCTTCTGGGAGTCCCTTTTTAATTTCCCTCAACTTCGAAGTTTAGTCTCGAAATATTATTGAAACTTTCTGTCCATCGCCGGGAAAGAGGTGCCCTTAATGTCTTCTAGCAGCTTGGAGTGGCATTCAGTGTTAGAAGCCTTCGACAAGTCCAAGGCTAATAGGACGGTACTCTCGCTGGGGTTGTTACGGTTAAGGTCACAAATTATCTGGGTGCTTATATCTTGAAGTGCTGTGGTGGTATTAAGCGCTTCAGGTGACAAGTGTAGTACGGGCTCGTGTGTCTTCACTACTAGAGAGAAGTGTGTTATCGGGTGATAAGGCTTCCTTTGTTGGCGGGTTTCCCCACCTTAAGCAGTGGGACCACTGTCCCTGACTTCCGCAAGACAGAATACCGTGCTGAGATATTCAACTACCGCCGGTCCCAATTTTTTCACTATCAGCCTACATATTCCGGTGGGACCAATAGCTTTAGAGGCTTTTGCCTTCCCGTTGGTCACCTTAACTTCATCGCTAGTGGAAGTCGAAGGCACACTGCTTTTTGACAGGTTTTACAGCCTTACGATAATTTTATCCACCGAAGGTTGCAGGGTGAGTTGCTAACGCATCGCCTCACTGAAATTTCCACCCTTTAATGGCGCCGGTTCGTGTTTAAGCAAAGCTTACTCACACCAGAGGATAAGTTGCAAGTCTTCAAATGCTCCTTTCACTTTTTCCGCTTATACTGATTTAGATATATGCGACCGAATCTACAAATTGAAATTCATAATGCGCCCTTCTCCGGCATCGAACGAGCGAAGTTCGTCACAATCGTTTGCCAGGACAACTGGAAAGTTGGAGCGAATGCTCACTAGAGGTCCGATGGAACGAAGCGAGCTGCTGCAGCGGTACCCACCTTGCGGAACTGATGTAAATTAGAAACATGCAAATTAGTTTGTGTGGAAAGGGATGCGAGGGTGAACACAGCAAAGTTCGGAGGTTTATTCATGGAGATAATCCGATAGATGGCGATAGACTTTCTAGGATGTTATCCGCACGGTGCCTGTCTGCATCGATAAGGCACTGCTGCATAGTGTCCCTACAAGAACAGTGATAGTCATTTGAATAATCATGTGTAGATAACTCAATGGTGATGGAGATGTCCATCAAATACTCCCATCACGTTTTTAAGGTCAATGTGCAAAAAATGACGAAAACAAATGTATACATGTGATTTTTTATCTTCTTTCAACTTATGGGATTATTTAATGGTCTCTTTTTAACCAACGCAAAATTTGCAAATGTGTTAAATAAAGGAGAATGTGTTAGTTTCCATCACCCAATTGTTGTAGGGGTGATGTGTAATGAACGCTAATGCGTGATAGACCCCTGAGAATGAGTACTTTGCGTACGTGACGCTCAAGGATGAAACTGACAGTTGAGTATACAGTGTGTGTTTGCATAGAGGGCGTCAGATTGGCAAGCCTTGCGTCGACGGACCCAACGAACCAAGACGAATTTATACAAGGTGGTGTTACTGGCGAAGTTAGACTTTCGCCGCGGTACTTCTTAGTGTCAAAATGATGAGTTTGTTGTAATATGAATTCGCCTTGTTTACAACAATAACATCATTTTGACATTAGGAAGTACCGCGGCGAAAATCTAAATTCACCATCAACACCACCTTGTATAAATTCGCCTTGCAACAAACGTTGGCCAATACTCAACTTTTGACGCACGTAAGTCCGTCACTGCTGACAGTTGTATAATCACGCGTTTACACAAGTCAAGACAAATGATAATAAGCATTAATTGTCACATTGTTTGAGTAAAGTAGCCATCCAGATAATAAACTGTATTCCAAAAGCCAGAGAAAGTGACGAAGACATCAACAGAATTGTGAATATATTGTATCTGAAAAATTGACTTGTGTAAACCCCAAGTACGAGGCCATAGGGA